AATAATATTTTTCAAAACACTTTTCCATATAAATGGTCCACAGTATTGAATTTGAAACGAGCTGAGTTTTAAATAGTATCTTGAAACAACAAAATTATTAGTTGAATACTTTATAGGATATTTATGAGTAATTTCGGTGAAGTAAGACTGGAATATATTACTAATATACACTCAATGTTTACAAACTTAACATATAATAAGTTATGCTTCTAATGTTTAAGACAAAACACGGTTTATCTCCATTATTAGTTAAGTTTGTAAACATTGAGTGCATTAAGTTCCATTCAATAAGCAATGCTAAAAATAGTAGAAAATTATATAAACGCAACTTTGAAAATGCAATAAACTTTAGTGAGGATTGTTGTTGGACATAATCCTTGAAAAATAAAACTGATATAGAAAATTTATATCTAGATATATTGAAAGCTTTCGACACATTTCACAACTATCTCTTACTTATAAAATTAAAAGCTTATAGAGTAGATGACAAACTCTACCAATGGATTTGAATATTACCTAAGAGATTGGCATTAGATTATCATTGTTGGTGGTACATACTCAGAATGGATAATAGTAATTATTGGGGTCTCTCATTATTTACTTTTATGATATATATTAATGATTTTTCTGATTTGGTTTTAGATGTTGTATCTGTAATTACAGATAATATTAAGTTATACAGTTTGCTTTTTGATAGCTCACCATGCAATAACCTGCAAAAAAGTATGGACATTATAGAAAACTGAGCAAAACTATGAAAACTAAGTTTTAATGTAAAAATAGATTAAAATCTCAATACTTCAATTAATCTTAAAAACTCTCTTGTCAATAAAAAGATCTTCATTGACAGTAATTTGACTTTTATTTTGTAAGTACAAAGAATAACATCGCCAATAAAAATGTAGGAATGATCAAAAGATCATTTGTCAATCTCAATATCTTGACATTTTGTACTTTGTTTATTTTCCTTGATTGTCCTCACTTTGGTTCTTGCAGCTCTGTCTACGATCCTAGCCTTTAAAAATATCAACAATTAATTTAAAATGTTCTATGCTAGTCTAGTAAGTTTGTTTTTGGCCAGACTCGACTCACATACAATCAAATACTAATGAGACTAAATTTAACTAGCATGAGCTATCGTTTCTTATGTAATGACATGGCAAAAACTTACAAATGCATTCACAATCTTTATAATTAAAGTTGCAACCCTTTTGTTTCCTCATTAAATACCATTCAGTATTTTATCTATCAACACCTGTGTCAGAGTGATGTCATCTGCACAGCCATTATATTTGTTATTGCAATTACAGACCATTAAGTAGTTAATCTGAGTTGTAATAGCATGCGTGTTAATATGGCCACTTCTTAATACTAATATATGATTATATATTTAATTAGTATTTATTCCTCCATTATGACTAACTCCAACATAACAACATGCGATCATGCTTATAAATTGAAAAAAATGTTTTGAAAAACAAATGTCCGGAAAAAACTTTTCTAGTATGCAATTCACAAATTTGTGGAATAGTCTACCATCTGAAATAGTGTTCAACATCTGTCACGACATTTAAAAAATATCTAGATGCATATTGGGTTCATCAAATGTACAATTGCATATAAACAATTAGATTGACACAATTAGATATTATCTAATTGTGTCAATCTAATATTATCTAATCTATCTATTAGATACAATAGAACAAAAGGTTGATAGGCTTTTTTATATACCTAACTATTCTATTTGTAAAATTATAATCTTAGAAAATAATAATAATAACAACATTAATAATAATAACAATATGTTATATCAAAACTCTTATAATAGTTATTTGCCTAAAGATACTTTAAAATCCTCCAATGTTAAGTTTGTTGACATATCATATTTTAATGAAACCAACCCTATTACTTAAATAACAAATGTTGCATATCATTTTTTTTAATCTTAAATAATAAAGTTATGCAATTCACTGTATGTTTACTGTAGTATGCCAGTAAACAAACTCTTTTTTTTATTATAGAGTATAATTTTATCTATTGTAGAAATAAAGTTAATATGAAATTGAATTTCAAATTATTTAAACACCGATTAATTTTTATGTTTATTTTAAATGTTAAAACACTTTATTTTAGTGTTCCATGGCTGAAAAAAATATTTATTGCATGTCTGGATAACTTGTTCAATTGAGCATAAGATCTTAATCTCATACTCATTTGAATCTCATAATCTCGGGGTAAAAAATTTGCTTAGAGCCTCAAGTTGGTTGTCTTCAGGGTGCATTTACTACGGCTCTTTAGCCGTAGTAAATGCACTATTTTATTTCTACAATAAATAAAATTATACTCTATAATAAAAAGCCAAGTAATAAAACTCAATAAATTTTAGACTAATATTTCAGTTAAAAAAAAAAGTCATCTAAAAAAAAAGTTAATCTGAAGTTTTTTATATTATATAATTATTTGTTGAGAATTTTTTTAGCTGTTGTACTGTTAAACTGAAGATGCCAATAAAGTTTAAAAAATTTGCTCTGGCTGAACTTTTTAATAGAAAAACAACATGTGTGCAATGTATGTAACCTGTTTTTCATGGCTGATCAATGAAAGTTTGAAGAATTTGGCCAAATCACTTGCAAGCATCTTACTTTTTGGCTACCATAGGTGAAGCCACGCTTCTAAAAGTAACTGGAAGCAGCTGATAATAATTTTTTTTTATTATTTTGGTAATTGCTTATTTAAAATATTGTTTTTGCTTTTTTAATTTTAAGTTACACATGTGCAAAATGCTAATGATCTAGACAGCTATATTTGACTCAAATACTGTTCATTGTTTAGTATGGTTTCATTTTTTCTTTATTTTTTTTTGACAGTTAAGAAACTGCTTTAGAATGGAAATGTTAGAGTTTACATCAAGCGTTGAAACAGCTGTTGATAGAGATAAAGAAAAATTATCTATGCCTCCAGCTTAAAAAATTGCAGGTTACAAAAAAAGTGGCATTGATGAGATTGTACGTCAGTTTCTCAAAGATAGAAGAAATCTTTAGTTTTTTAGGGTTAAGTGTTTCCATCTGAGCTTAGCTTGACCATCTCTTACATTTTATTGAGTTTATTGAGTTTTTTTTATTGAGTTATTATTTATTGAGTTTTGTTGGTTAAAGAGGAAAAAAGATCATCTTAACCTGGCAGAAAATTTATAGAACAAATTATGAATCATATAAATTATAGCACATTATGAATCAGTAAGTATGTATCAGTAAATTAATATTAGTTAATAGTTTTGGAAACAGTTCCATTTACTAATAAAATTTCTATTTTTAAAAAAGTATGATACATTCATATGAAACATACAAACAAATGATACAATATACGTGATTGATTATAATTATGTTGTATATCAGAATGTTTTATATAAATGTCTATTATATTTTGTTGTGATTTTTATCTTTTATGCCCAGTTAGCAATGTATTTTGTGTAGCAATGACTACTAATATCAGACATCTATGACATATTCACGTTGTATTCACCACAGTTTTTTGCTGTGGCGAATACAACCAATCTTGGAGAATTTTATACTACTGTGTAATTGTGGTCAAGGGTAGGAGAAGCTCACAAACCTGTATGAAATTATGGATGATATTCTTCCAAGTGTTACATTATAAAAGTTTTGTAGAAAAAATCAGTCCTGATATGCAAAAAAGGTTGACCTAATCTATTTATAACCAATTGCTTTTACTCTTCCATAATGTCATATTTTAATAAGAATCACATTATGGAAAACCGTCTAATACATACACATGAGGAACCATTATACTTTTAGTACAACCAATTATGTTACATTTGTTTTCTTATTTTAGATGAACTTTCTTACTTCGGTTAGAGGAGATGAGAAACAACTTACAGCGGCAATCTTAATACAGCTAATGCCCAAAGAAGTATATTTTTTATACTCAATGTATGGAAGGAAACAAAAACGTCCTGCAAGGTCGTTATAGATAAAGCACAATATTTGTATTCTACATCACATTGTCTTTTAATAAATAAATATTTTAGTAAAAGCTAATTATTTTACATTATTTATACGTGAAAAATTATATATTTCAAAATTATATTGTGATGATATTGAAAAAAGATTTTTAGAGTTGCGTTTATCGTTTATTTCGAAATCGCTACTAAACAAAAGTATTACGGCCTAGTACTATAGTATCACTTAAACAAGAAAACTGTTATAAATTTTAATTATTAAAAAGTTGTAGAAGGCAATATTTTTTATTATTTTTTGATAATAAAAATTTAATCGAAAATACTCGATATATTGCCTTAATATAGTTTTATATATTATATATATCAGGATAATATTGTAAACTATATTACGCCAATATTGGCCAGTATTATATCGCCATCATTGGCGCGATATTATTTACAATATTGGCGCAATATTTTAAGCATTATCGTGCCAATATTGCAATGTGAACATTTTGGCAATATTAACTTTACAGTATCGGCGCAATATTGTATCGACAATATTGACTTTACAATATTGGCAAAATGATCACATTGCAATATTGGCCCGATATAGTTTATAATATTGCGCCAACATTGTAAACAATACCCACTGAGAAAAATGAGCTCTTTAAAGAGCTCTTTATTTGGTTTTTCTAGAACTCGTCCAGGAGCTCTTCGAAGAGGTCTTCTACGAGACACTCCGCACAGAGCTCTTTTAGTAAAGTACCGAAGAGCGCTTTTAAAAGAGTTCTTGTAGAGCTCTATCAAGAAATCTAAACATGTGAGCATTCTTCAAAAAATACTTTTTTCATCTAAATGCATGGTATCACAATTCTTAAATCCACACTTTCATATTTTGAATAACTAATCACTTGCACGAGTATTTTATATTGAAGGAAAAGCAGGGAACGCTACACCTAAAAAAACCCTTAAAAAACCCCCACAAAAATGTTTGCAATAAAATACCGCACAGGAAAGAACAAAGTAAAAAAAAGCCAAATTTATGAGAACAATTTTTATTCCAATTTTTTTTTCCTGATCTCCTTCGTAATATTATCATTTGCCTTGTACATGGCGTCTTTAAGACCTTTTTCGATCTTCATTACGTCTTTGTGTCCCAGTTTTTTTAGCACAGCTGAAAAGATTTTAAATTTATTTTATAATATTCAATGCTTGTTTATTTGATTATTATTTATATTATTTGAAAAATGTTTAGTTGTTACAACTCACCTATCAGTGTGATGTACACAATTCCATTTTTGACTGCCATCTTCTTCTCCTTATATGTTTTGTGCCCAGCATAGCACATGTTTTTCAGCATGTCTTGAGAGAAGATTTCACTCATAATCGTTTTAGCTGCAGTTGTTGCAGCTAATGTATCAAGCTTGAGTGCCTTTAAACGTTCCAAAAGCAACTTTTTCTGAAAAAAATATTTTATTAAGAACAAATTTTTTTTTTACATAATAAATAATGCTATACCAATAAGGTTTCAAAAAAAGAATGTAATTTAGAATTTAAACTGTATAATTTGACATTTCACATTCTACATAGTTAAGTGAATGAAGATAATTATTAGATTATTTGCAAGAGAGCAGATTTTTAAGCTGCCTGACATACATAACAAGAAAACACTTTAAGAATGAAAAAAAATTATTAATAATAACAAAAAGTCCAGATTTAAGATCTAGATAGACTTATATTAGCTTATATTAGAGTGAGATTAGATCACTGAAGACTCACTACATTTTAATAACATAATAATAAATTTCATTTTGTAAATAATGACTTTAACTATACAAAGAAAATATGTATCCAGCTTACCCAAGTTTTGACAAAAGATTCATTTTTCAGTTTTTCCTCCAGCTTATAATATTGTTCTTTTGTGGTCATAGGCAGGCGTCCTAAAACAGAATCATCCTCAACTGCATCATCATCAGAGGAGTCTCTGTTTGTTTGGCTTTTAGAACTTGCAGAGCGCTTTCTATTGCGTAAAACAGTGTTTATATTAAGTGCATCCATTACTACATAGGTAAAATTCAGCATGTGCTGATTAAATTCTAAAAAAACAAAAATTATTTAGTATTTTAATCATGCACACACAAAACTATAAAACAAAGTTTAATACCTATTCACAGTTAAGCTTATGTTATAAGTTGTTATTGACAGAGTACATTTGTTATGTAAAAAATAAAAACACAATGATCACACAAATTATACACCTTATATACACTACCTGTTTGAGACATATCACTAGCTTTCTTTCGGTGTTTATACAAATTTTCCAAGGTTCCATTACACCACACATCAGAGTCAGCATCAGCTGTTACTTTACAAAAAAAAATTTAATCCTTTAGACTTCTGATTTAACAAAGAAAACTATGTACTATTAAGTTTTTAAGGTTTATGTATTTTTTTGTTTTATTTGGTTTAATCATCAATAACAATTGTTATTGATGAAACATGTTAAAAAGTTTTTAAATTATATATATATTACTACTTATGCTAAGTAACTAAAACTCAGTCTTTTACTAATCACTTCCTACCTCTTATGTTGGGGCTACTAGTCCTGATTGGTGATGAAGTAAGTCCTGCAGCCATGGCAGTAGGACTTTGTTCTCTACTCTTGGCAGGAGAACAGTTCCCTAACACAGACAATCTAGAAGTACTGGATGCTAAAAAAAAAAAAGAAAAATTAAATTTTAATCATAAATTCGTTTTTATTTTTTATTAAGTTTTTATCTTCATTAAACTTTTATTACATTTAAACTTCTTGAAAATATCTTTAAATCAATTTTTCCCCAAAAAAAGCTTGTTTAAAATAAAATTGCTTTAAAAAGCTTTGTAAGTTTTTATAAGTAATACATTATTTTTTTTTCATTTGGTTTTAACAAAATTCATAATTTTAAACTTGGCATAACTAGCAGTATTTAAATAATCTTTTTTTATACTTACTATTCTTTCTTAGAATACTACCCTGGTAGAGCTGCCACTCATATACTCCAGTAAGAGGTTCAACACAAGATTCAATTAACTTCTCTTCTTCTTCCTCTGTTAGATTGCAAGGCCAATAACAATTTGCAGAGTCTACTAACCAGGCCATTGGGGCATACATTGAATGCAGATATGGTGTTTTGAACCGGAATGCAACATAATTGCTTGACATCTGGAGAAACGAATTAAAATTCTTTAAAGATTATATAATTCTTATAGTTTTTAAAGATTTTATATATTATATATACTTTTTCCTATATATTGACTTTATTCAAAACACATCAGGGTGTTAGCCTGATGTGTTGTGAATTTATTTTTACTGCGTTTTTATGATATTGGAAATATAAACTGTTGTTCTACAAAATATTGGAAATTTTTTATTGATATTGTCCTATTACTTCAACAACAACAAAAAAAAAAAAAAAAAGGTCATTAAAATATTGGGAATTATAAACCCATTGGGAATCCCCCAGTGCGATTGTGTTGGCTAATACCCTGCACACTTCACATATTTATACCATCATTTGATATAAAAAGAATAAATATAACTATGCAGTATTTATATAATATACACATAAATATACACACAAATATTTACTTTTTTTTCTCATATATTTTATGTAATCATGCAAATTTAAATGAGTTTAAAGTTTATTAACAATGTATAAGTGGAAAAATTGCAAATGAATTGTCATCGCTAGTAAGTTTGACACATTTGGCTTTCACTATTTGAAGTTGGACAATTTGCAGTGCACCCAAGTGCATGGCTAAATAAATATTTAGGTTTGAAGATCTACACGGAAATACATATAAATCAAGAAGCCTAGTAAACTTTCTTGCAATCAGGATACGTTGATTGCTTTCTGTTGATCGAGCGATATTCTCCAATATGAAAACCTCATTTTCGCTTGTCATAAAGCAGTTGTTGGGACTACTACATTTTAAAGTGAAAGTTTCAAATTTTACTGATGTGTATTGCGGTCCATTGGTTGCATCTATGAGTGGACCCTTTATGTGTTGTTTTGAAAACTCAATATTTTCAAATTTATTGGACTTTTTTACAGGTAAATTTATCTTTCTTTCATGTTCACGCTTTACTATCTGTTGTAATGGGTTAGGTGATGTCTTCAGCATATTTCGAATATACCTATTTGCATTCTCAAACACAAATGCAGAGTATTTTTCAATCGGCCCAAATTTCCTCACATCATTAGCTATATGGATTAGAGAGTGGATATTAGCACTCACAAGATAGTTTCCATATAGCATAGCAAAATCAGAAACAAAATTTTTAAGTAATTTTTCACAATATGCAATCTCAGGAGGAGTTGCTTGTCTAGCAAGAATACTTGTTGCAACATGTAAATTTAAAAAATGACAATATAGAGCTTCATTTCTTTGCGAACCATCAAGTATTTTTTTCATAACAAGAGGACCAATATAAAGTAAAAAAAGACGAAATTCTGTGGCTTTGTATAATGCTAAGTATGTTAGTTCTCGAGGGCGACGTTGAAACTCCAATGGGATTTCATTACTAATGGTCATGATTTTATCAGAGACTTTGGCTCTTATTCTTATATTAAGCTTATTTACAGATGGCGCTTTTCCGAATAACTCTTTTAAAATTTTTTTTACGGTGCCAATGTAAATTTGGTGCATAGGGTCAATAACTATCATAGTTACTATATCTAAGAAAGGTATTTGCTCAAGGGGTGTTTCACCATGGTGATGTTCCGGCTGTTGCCTAGCTCTGAAGGATGCATCTGTTCTAAGCGCTGCGTCAATCTCCAAGAAAGCCTGTCTGTTGTTTATTCTTTCTCCGATCACTTCACATTTTGTACAGGAACATTCCCCTGTATGTCCAATTGTATTAAGGATGAAATTTTTAGCTGGAAGGTCACAAACAAAACCACTTATTCGAACATTAAATTGTTTATTTTCAAAATCAATCCCCTTGTTGGACAGTTTAATGCATTCTTCAACAAAATCACTTAGGTATAAATTTAATGAATCAGGTTTTTTAAGTCCATGATATACACCGATTTTAAAGACAGAGACTAAATCTAAATTATTCACTTTCCCCAATATTGACATGAACTGGCTTGTACTGCTTTTACTAATACTAATACCATCAATGTTTATTAATATTTCAAGAGTACTATTATTTTCCAAAATATCATTTGTTTCTTGAATTGATTGAATTAATCCTGCTCTGATTCCAAAGTGATAGTAATGACCTCGTAGCACAATTATATCTGTAAGAGTTCTTAGCAAGGCTTTACGTGTTTTTGGTAATTCATCATTGAAACACTTATGCTTTCTTAGCTGCTTTAATAGTTTATTTGTTGCACTTTCAGGTAAAGCAGACTCCACCACAAAGGTTGCCAACTCTTGTTTAATATTTATTTTTTCGTCACTTGAAAAAGAGACAGGTTCATCTGATGAATCATCTAGTATAGGAGGCAGAGGAGTATGAGGAAGTTGTGTTTGGGAAGTGAGTGGTTGAGGAAGTGGTATCTGCATAGGTTGCAATACTAGTGAAGGTGAATCAACTAGTTGATGAAGAGGTATTTCAGTAACCAAGTTCTCAAAATCTACATTGCCACTGTTTGAGTCTGTATCAGAGCTATGATTTATTGCAGCTTGCTCTCTGTAATACTTTAATCTTTTGTAGGCCTGTGAGCGTGATAGCTTATGAAATGAAACTCTCTTGTGCATATTAGCTGCAAAAATGATTTATTGTCAAAATATAAAAATTTATATGATGAATGATATATAATTATGTAATAATAGTAAAAATTTTAACATATTATTTAAAACATCTAGTGCAAATTATAGTTAAAATTTTAATAACACTTTCTTTTTATTTAGTTGATATTTTACATTACTGTTAATTTATTCTGAACAAAAATTTACAGTAGAGTTATAAAAATTTACATACCTTTAAATGCTGGTCTGTATACAACTGTTATTTGGAGTAAATCAGCAATAAAAACTGAAAAACTATATAAATAAAAAAAACTTGTAACATTATTTGCTGACAATTATATATTAAATTCAAAACATATTTATGAACATAAACTTTAAATCCTAATTCATTATATCGTATACGAGCAATATATATTGTTTTACCAATACATATTGCATAAACTTTAAAGAATTTGATCACAGAAAATAAAATTGCATATCAATACATATTTCTGCTTTTTAACAATTAAATTTCATGAAACTGTTAAAAAGCGCATGCGCTTTAATGCAACAATTAGCGCATTTTTGCAAATGCTCTTTCGGAAGAGTTCTGCAAAGAACCCTACTAACTATAACATCATTTAAACGACTAAACTAAAAATTAATATCATGCACACGAAAAATCTAATACATTACTTAAAGGTGCTAACTATTGCATAGAGTGTATAATTTTTATATAAAAAGTGAAACTGATTCAATATATAGGCATTATAAAATTTACTCTTTAATCTACTCTACTAACGGAGCTTATCATAGAGTTCCAGGAGCTCTTCCAGAGCTCTTTTTTCTCAGTGGGTATCGCCCCAATATTGTGCCAATATTGTTTGCTACTTGGGTGTATATATATATATATATATATATATATATATATATATATATATATATATATATATATAAATATATATATATATATATATATACATATATATATATATATATATATATATATATATATATATATATATATATATATATATATATATATATATATATATATATATATATATTGGAATGTTGGGTAGCCCCGGACGGCGGATAACTATAGACATTTAAAACTAAAGAAGTTATAAATTTTAAATATAGTATTAAAACATTATTTAAGTAAAAATATGGCAAATGCAAGATATCTATCATAATGCCAAAGCGATTGGCTGGGAGTGCAAGATATTGTTTCCGACCACCAGAAGAGCGAAGTGATGATCCTTGGGTAGAAATCTTTTGTCTTCCTGTTGACAAATGTGCTTCTTATATAATTGTGTGGATTCAGGCTAACATAAAATCCTTTATTCCCTCCAGGTCAAGCCTCACTCTTCTCCATGATTTCTCTCACATTGTGCAGCTGCAATTGCCAATCGAAACCATTATTTCCATATCTATCAGCAAAGCTACTCTCCAGAAAACAGACGTCTGTTTATTACTGCTAGGAACAATTGTAAAAAGGTTTTGTTTAACGCCAAAGCCCGCTATTCTCAGATCATGAAATCTCGTTACCTCACCTAAAGACAAAGCTGAATTGTTTGATAAGAAATTTTCATCAATATCATCTCTTGATTCCGTCAAACAGGTTGATCCATTGCTCGACATCCGTATCACTTTAGCTTCTGTATCTAAAGTGATTTCCTGCTTAGACCCTTCTACAGCTTATGGTCGGGACAACATAATTGTTATAGTCTTGCAGAAGTGTTTTCCGGAGCTGTCGTCTATTCTTTCAAAACTAATCAACAAGTGCTTATTAGAATCTTGTTTTCCAGCCTGCTGGAAAGCAGCATCTGTTATCCCTATTTTCAAAAATTCTCGAGAGCGATCTCCAGAATTTTTGAAAATAATTTTGGAAACCATATGTAAAATCCGTTGCAAAATTAGCATTTCCTAAAGTTGTATCTCTTTATCAAGCTCGACACTTTCCTACTCTGGATTCTATTCTCTATCTCTATAAATCTCAAATTCGGCCTTGTATGGAATATTGTTGCCATATCTGGGATGGATCTCCTAATGATGCCCTTTCTCTTTTAGACAAGGTGCAAAAACATATTGTAAACATAGTTGGAGCTGCTCTTGCAGACAATCATCACATCGTCGTAATTTTGCTTCTCTTTCTCTTTTCTACAAATACTATAATGGGCACTGCTCTAAAAAGCTAGCGTCTCTTGTGCCATCTACTAAAATTCACTCTCGTGTTACTCGTCTTTCAATTAAATCTCATCGTTTTTCTTTGAACATTTTAAGTGCTCCAAAAACACTTACTCCTCTAGTTTTTTCCTCGAACATCAGTTCTTTAGAATTCGCTACCTTTATCTTGCTTTCCTGATTCATATAATTTGCAATCTTTTAAGTCGTCTGTCAATTATTATCTTGCTCTACAATCTTCAGCTTTTCTCTTTCCAGTAACTTCCAACTCTAACTAGTCGTTGCTTGCAGCCTTGTTTGAAGCGAAGTTGTTTTAAAAAAAGAAAAAAATTAGTCAGCTTTACGTGATAAACTTTTGGAGTTTTGCTTAATTTTTTATTGACGTAAAGTTAAACAATTTAATCAGTAATTGCTTAGCTTTACGTGAATAAAAACCGAAGCAATGTTCTTTAAGTTTTTATTTCTTTAAAGCGGACCATTTACTGAGTAAAAGCAGTTGCTCATTTTTATTCATCCAGCCTATTATGTCAAATAATGATGCTTTGTGAAAAGTTGCGATGACTGGACGCTGGGGACAAAAAACCCCTTCATTCGAATTTTAGTTATCTCCTCAAATTGGAGGGGCGTTATACTAAAGAAGAGAAGTTTTTACGATTCTCTAGAGTCACGTGTAGAGCTTTCGGTTTTATAAAAATGAGTGTATATAAAGCAAAAAGTCACATGTATACTTATTTCTCAAACTATACCATTAAGTATTCGAAATAATGAAAGTATACAAAAAAAAAATAAAGTATTTAAAATTATTCTTAATAACAATTAAAATACTGTTAAGAAAACTTAAAAAACAATATAATTTAACATATTATGTATTATACTGTATTAATATAGTAGTTTAAAAAGAAATAAGCGCAAAATATTTAACATGTTTGCCAGTTAATTTAGAATGTAATAAATTATAATATATAATCCCAACCTTATTTTTCTCTAATTTTCAAATGAGTTTTTAGATAAATACTTCTTTTTTCCAAATGGTTTTTTACTTGTTTTTAGCTACTTATAGAGCTTATTTCAATGCTGACTCCATTGTATTTAATCTCCTATGTAGATTTTATTGTATTTAAAGTCAATAAAAATTATTACATTTTTCTTTTTCCAAGCCTTTATTTGTAAGCTGTATACACAGAACCTTTTTTTCCAAGCTGAGATCATATGCTTTTATCACTCACCATGTCTGCTGAATCATAAAATTTTCTAGAGACCCTAGCTTTAGGGTTTTATCTATGTATATATATATATATATATATATATATATATATATATATATATATATATATATATATATATATATATATATATATATATATGAATATATATATATATATTATATATATTATATATTATATATATTATATATATTATATATATTATATATATATATATATATTTATAAATGTATATATATATATATATATATATATATATATATATGTATGTATACATATATATATATATATATATATATATATATATATATATATATATATAAATATATATTTATATATATACATGTATATATATATGTATATATATATTATATATATATTATATATTATATATATTATATATTATATATATATATATATTTATAAATGTATATATATATATATATATATATATATATATATATATGTATATATATATATATATATATATATATATATATATATATATATATATATATATATATATATATATATATATATATGTATATATATATATATGTATACATATATATATATATATATATATATATATATATGTATATATATATGTATATATATATGTATACATATATATATATATATATATATATATATATATATATATATATATATATTATATATATATATATATAAATATATACATATATATATTATATATATATATATATACATGTATATATATATATATATATATATATATATATATATATATATATATATATACATGTATATATATATATGTATATATATATATATATATATATATATATATATATATATATATATATATATATATATATGTTTATATCATTGCGTTAACTAGCCCAATGGCACTGCGTATACCTGCGAAATAGGTTTAAAATTCCAAAAATTCAGTTTTTTTTTTTAATTCAATAATAGAACTATTTCAATAAAAGTTTCTCAATATTTTGTAATAATTATTACAATATTTTGTAATAATTATTATTCCCAATATTACAAAAACAGGGTAAAAAATATATTCCTGCATAACACCCTGTATATATATATAATTTTTACTTATAATAAATTCTAGGCAATATATAAAAGTCATCACTTTCCTTGTTCAAAAATAAATTATAATGCTGTTGTTTATATGTAAAGAGATCTTGTTGCTGTGGTACCCTCCAAGATAGTTTTATAGTTTGTATTTTAAAGCAAGAAGTATTTTGTACTTTATTAAAACTAGAAATATAAAATATAAATAAAAATAAAATTGTTTTTCACTGTAGTAATGTAAGGTTATAGTGACCATTGTCCCGGTTTTTAAGCAGGAGAGCGCAGCGCTAAACTAATTTTAACTAGTTTAACATTGCACTCTCTTATATAAAAAACAGGACAATGGTCACCCTAACCAATATATGGTGCTATTCAACAGTTTGATTAAACTAAACAATTCTGAATATACAATAAAAAAAACATGAAATGTTTATTAGCTTTTTAACGTTTGAAATTTTTAAATGAAAAAATAATCTATTATAAATATTGCAATTAATAAAATCAACAAATCCAATTAGTAAATATCTATTCATTTTTCTTTTTTAGCTCAACACTCTTACGTTCTTACTTAATTTCAGTCTTATGTCTTATGTCTCTTACAGTCGTAGTTAATGCCTTTTTTTAAATTACAACTTTTTTTGATTTATTAAAGAATGATAAAAAATGATAAAATTTTGGTTCAATGCAAGCAACTTTTGGAAGATAGGAATATGACTGAACTTTTAAAGATATTAAGCTATGATGAAAATAGGGTAAGATTTTTTCTATACTTTTTAATAAATACATCCAATAATAAACTCATGCATGTATGAGTTACTGAAATGTATCTCAGTAACTATTCAAGTCAACAGTTTACCTAGGAAAAATCTAATATAAAACTCCCATTTATTTGTGGGTAAATTTATGAGGAGCTCAATGTTGGATGGCAATCTTTCTAGTGGTAGTATTGTAATAAAAGTACTTTGTCCTGGTATCCCAAACCAGATCAAAATTCATTTACTGATAAAAATTTTAAGTTCTTTTTTTTGTAAAGTAATTAAATTGAAAACATTTTCAAAATAATTAGTTTTTAATTTTGAAAATAAAAGCTTTAGAAGAGCCCAAATATTTTTTAATGACCATTCTATTAGTGAGGTTGTATTTAATGACTGTTCTATCAATGTGTTTTGTTCAAGTTTAATCTTTAATTTTTTTAATAGTCTTTTTAGCTCTTTAATTTTATGTCCCAATTTTTTTTTACAAGAAACTTTATTTTTTTATATTAGTGTGCACAAAACCATTTCTGTAAATCTGTAGCTACATCTAAGTTATGAATAACAGGTTTATGTATACTTATGAGTCATTATATATCAAATCATCTAATGGTTTCCAGGGTACCACTTTAAATTTGCTTCAATTTTTGACCACCCTTAGTATTTATGAAAAAAATACAAACCTCAAAATTTCAGCTTGATTGGCCAAACTGTTCAAAAGTTATGATTGATTTAATGTTGACAAAAATCAGAAATATTTAAGTATATGGAGCTTACAGTAGATTTTTTTTATTTTTAACAGATCATAACTTTTTAAATAAAACTGATGATCACCTGAAATTTTTTACCGTAAAAGTTTTTAACCCAAATAATCCAATTTTGCAGGTGTTTTTGACTGTTTTTAAACAATTTTTGAGTTCTACCTCAAAGTGGCTAAATTAAAAGAAATTTTGGAAACCTTAATGTGTTACAGTTCAATACCAACAGACAAGCTGTACCAATTTTTTGTTACTTTTCTGTACTTAGAACAACCGCTAGCAGCAAAAATTGAAATTATGTGTTAAAAGTTATTTTAGCACTTGTCTGTTAAAATTTTAGCACAGTCTGTTAAAATATCACTTTTTAAAAAAAAAACAATAAATTACATTTACTTTGTAGGTATAAAAAGTAGCGTAGACAATTAAAATAAATTATGAAACTTTTTACTGGCAAGGTTCTATATATAGACAATCACCAAAAAAGATTCAAAGACCTATAATCTATCTTATGACATAATTTTAGCAATTTGAGTGCAATGCTTTTAAAGTTTAAAAGGATACTTAATAGCGCAAGTTATATTATGTTTCAAAAAAATAGAAATAAAAAATAAAAATGCTGAAAGAAGTGTGTATACACATGAAACACAAGTACACTAATTTTTTTATCTCTTATTTACATAACTCATAATACTGTCATAATCATTATTAGCAAGTTTGTGGTCACGAGCAGTGTTAACCTTAATGGATAGGGCACTTATTTTACATATTACTTTTTCAAATGGAACCCAACACTGACTTGATCGTGTATTATGAGTCCATTTTAAATTTAATTTTTTTTATGGATGAATTTTACAATAGGGAGATTCCATGTGAAAACATCCAATTTTTTTTGAAAATGCAAAAATGTTAACATATTTTGGGCCAACGAATCCAATAAAACAACAATATTTAAAAGCAAACATAACACCTAAAATTTGAACGTTTACCACAATTTTACTGGGGCGAGTTCAGTCACAAAAATGCCGATGTAGCTCGATTTTTTTTTTTTGAAGTTGTCCTGAATAGTTAAGCTATAGTTACTACAAAGAATTGAAGAGTGGTCTTTTCTAAAACAGAAATAAAAACATGGTCAAATCTACTTAAATTTATTGCTTAAAAAACAGGTATTATGACAAATTAAACAAGAAAAAAAAAGTGGTATTTGACAGTTTTGTAACTGAAACAGTTTTGGCTACATCAAACTGTTCTTTTAGTTGTTGTTGACTAGCTGTTTCTGTTTTCTTTGTAATTTTTTAGAATCTGATCTTAAAAAAATTTAGTTTCAAAGGGGGAGAATTATATAAATGCAAATGTATATTGCAAATTTTTTTTTTTTTTCAGAAGTTGTATTAAATAGTTTAGTTGGAGTTATTACAAAGAATCAGATTGCCATCTTAAATCAGAAATAAAAACATCTTCAAATATACTTAAATTTATTACTTATAAAACATTAGTTTCATATTTATTAAACTTCATTTAATAAACTTAAAAAACAAAGACTCCAAAACAAATAGAGCACTCTAAAAGAAGTTGAAGAAGCAAAAGTAATATTTAAAATTTAAAAATTAAAAACAAAAAAAAAATAAAAAATTTTCAGTTATTGTGTTATAATCATTCACATCAATGTTATATGTTCGCCCTGATTTTGTTGTTGAACTTTGATTACTGCAATCAAACTCGACAATAGTACCCAACAGATCTCATCTCTCTGTGGCCAAATGAAGTTTTGGGAAGGGCTGTGAGGCTGCATAAACTTAATTTGATCATCATTTGTAATAATATCTATCTCTGTAACCATGCCTATCTACCAAAAGGAATCTTACTTGCATGCAATAAAATCATTTAGATTTGGTACAATAACAACATCAGACATTACTGCTTTTGACAGTAAAAATTTTTATAATGTCAACACATTGATGTTTGCTTGTTCTTTTAAAAGTAATTTCAAATTTTGAAATGGGTATGTAATGATGATAACTTCTGGTACCTGGAACAGTTTTTCCTGTTTTAAATCGCTCCTTTAGTTGCTGTCTCCTTGCATTTACTGTTTCTTTGGAAATTTTATAAAATATGATTGTGTTTATATTGGTGATGCAAAACTCAAGCATATCATCAACTGTCAATATTTGGTTTTCCAATTCCCTTTGCAAACTTGCTCTTGCTGTTATTCTTTTAACGATACCACCTATGCCATCACAAGTGGATTTTCCATGGCTGGTTGCAAAAAATACCCATTCAGCTGTAATCTCGAAATCTTCCTTATGGTGGCATAGGTTTATAAAGTTTTTATAGTTTTTATAATGAGCAGAACATCCATCAGAAAAATAATAGATTTTATTGATACCAACTAAATATTCTTTAATGTACTCTACAATTTTCTTTTAAAATTCATACACAAAGCATGTATCATGATCATTGTCATTACTTAAAAAACAGAATAACTTATGCTGAATATTTGTTTTAGAAAATTCCTTCAAATATATAACAACAGGATGAAGTGTACATTGTTGTTTATTCCAATAATAACTTTGTATTTCATCCTGTATAACAAATTGATAGTTCTCTGCAAAATCTGCCTGTATAATACATTCATTGTAACCTAATTTTTTTTTAGTTCTTTAAAATAGCAAGTTTGACATTTAGCAATATATGAATGTGAAGTTAGATGATTAATGTGAGAAACAATTAGTTCTTTATATTCAAATAAGTTAGCTGATTTAGTATTTAATTGTGACCTATCAGTACTTTGCCATTAGTTGAATTGAATTTCTTCTTCTTCATCAATTAATTCCTCATCTAAAAATGCCTTTAAGTTATCATAACCTGGACATTTAGCACATCTATGAGCCATGCATTCATTATTGCTTGTATCAAATACTAATTTTGACATTAAATCTTTGTATGTAACATTCCATTGGACAGCATTTACAAGCAATATTAAGTTTTGATGGTAAATACAAACATATACGCAGTGTGTACCATTTGCTCCCACACTACTACACCATTTTGGACGCAAACTACAAAACTTTGAAAATCCTATTTTATAATTAGGGTATTTACTTTTAAATTCAATATAAAGCTCATAAAGGTTGCACAACAATAATCTTTTTTGTTGTGGAGGACCACTTTTATCCTTAACACAAGCTTTTTTATCAGGCATAATTCTAAAATGTTCATCTTGTTGAAAAAAAATCTTGAACTAAAGCTGTAAGAAAGTCAGGTATTTTTTGGCCTATATTCTTATCAGGTATAACAAGAATTCTATTTTCACTTTTAAGTTTTCTAGCACGTCGTATAAGATGTTCAGAAACCTCAAAATATTCTGAAGCGTATTTTCTAGACCAACATTCAGGTGTAAGTGTTAATATTTGAATTTTTTTTTTTTTTAAATGGTTCAACTTTAAGTTTTCTTTCATTAAAGTTTTCAAATGATCAAGATCATTTGCTTTTTTTTTATCTGTAGAATGACTACACCTTGTCATATACACCTTCTTCCATTTTTGTGTAGGCTTTGACTAGTTTTCTTTTTGCTGTTACAACTCTTTGATGCTTTGCGACTCCATGAACTTTAATTGGTGAGACTCAAATAGATATTAAAGAGTTGTTTAACTGTTGTTTATTACTTAACTGTAATTTAATATAACTGTTATTATTTACCTTTAACAAATAATAAATCACCATCAATGTCACAATCCATTTCATTATCAGAAACTTCATCACGATTTGACAAAAACTGAATACATGAGCAACAAAATTTCCATCCTGGTTTACAATCTAGATTTTTGGATTTAAGGTTATGAGCCATATCAAGAGATATGTTTGATTGACCTAAAGTAAAATCATTAATTTTTAATAAACATACTCTGCTTCTAAATTTATATATATATATATATATATATATATATATATATATATATATATATATATATATATATATATATATATATATATATATATATATATATATTTTTATATATATATATATATATATATATATATATATATATATATATATATATATTGTATTAATTTATATAATATATATATATAAGTTAATATATAATATATATATATATATATATATATATATATATATATATATATATATATATATATATATATATATATATATATATATATATATATATATATATATATATAGGTAGTGGTGTAGTGGTAGAGCGCTCGCTTCATAAGCGAGAG